TTTTTAATTTTATATTTATTCCCACTTCTTGGAGTCTGGTTCCTTTCAAATGGGATTTGATTTTTAGTAAGAAGAAAAAGTCGCATTTTGGGTAAATATCTAGCTAATATTATTTTAATTTATTTGTTACTAGTAGCATGGCCCGGCGTTGCCCGTGCTTGATTCAAAAGTCGTACGACTCATACAGCAATCGCTATCACTTGACTTAAAATATTTTTGCACTTCCTTGCCTTTAAAGGAGTGCTCTTTGCCGTGCTGATGTTGCTACATGCCTTACTTCTTGCCTATGTCACACTGTGATTTTTTTCTAAGCTCTATACTAAACATTAAATCTCTTACGAAAAAAGAACTGAACAAAATGAACACAAAACGATCAGCTTTAAAAAAGGACTCGTAACTGGAAAAACCGAATGAAAAAAGAATGTTAACAACAAATACTTTTTCACACCCAACCCAGTTCTGCGGAATCAGAATCAACGTTGAGTTTAAGCAAGCGAATGAGCCAATTAGAGTAAAGTGCCATGCAGATTTAAATTTTTCCCACTTGTGACGAATGCAGCTATCGATTTTTTTTTTGCATGCTAGCATGCTAGTTAACATTCGTGTCAGTCAGCTGTTGGCTCTCACGCTGGCCAATAGAATCTTCCTGCCTATTCGTGGCAGCCAGCTATAGGCTCTCACTCTGGCCAGTAGAAAATGGTCGCAAACTACATGAAAATTGCCGTAGAAGCATGAAAAAATCGATTATTTCCACTATCGATGGGAGTTGGGAAATGCAAAGTCGGTCTTGGCCTTTACCGCTAACTTGGAGCATGTGCATGTAAATTTTGGTGCAAATCCGTCGAAAATTGCGGCCGTGTATTCGTTACACACACACACACACACACACATCCTGCCTTTTATAGATAGAGATTATTCATTTACAGGTTTGTGTGTGGAGATAAATGACTACTCACTTGATGTCTAGAAGTAAGACCGCCTTTGAAATAACTATCTGTATCGGTGAAATAAATGTCAACGGGGGCCGCAACTATTTCAGTGCGAGCAAGTGGGGCATAAATGGTTTTGTCCGTGAGATCCTCGGTGACAGAAGCGTTAAAAGAGACACTGTTGAAAGTCCACCCCTGGTGGCGTTTCACTTCGACAACTGGGTCCTGACTTGAAGCAATCAAGTCCTCGATTCGGATATCAAAAACTGTCTCACCGTAAATCTGAAAAAGAGTTTAAAAAATCAAATTAACAAACAAAAATATTATTGCTTAGACATGAATACAATATGGGAACCAGTAATACAGATGGCTAGAAAAAAAGAACAAAAACAGAAATTGTAATATGAGCTCTGGTATAAAAATGCTACTGAGACATTTGGTTTATAAGTCCCCAAAATTCAAGTACCGATGTCTCCAAGGACAGATAGCCAAGTGGATAAAAGCTTTTGTTGAGTAATCCAAAAAATGACTTGTGAGTTCAAAACCTAATCCCAGTAGTATTTATCAATCCACCCACGAGGATAGAATGTGGCACAAGGCCGGTTTAATGTGGGTATCCCCGAGCCCGTAGGCTCGGCCAAAAATATAGCCTTTTTGAACAGTAGAGGGAACGAACCTTGGTAAATTCCATAAGACGTAAATTAGATGACACGTAGAACTAGAACAGTCTTACCTGTTTACTACATAAAGGATTCGATTCGAAATTACAACGAATACAGGGTGCGATAGATAAATTGTCGCCATTTTATATTTTTAATTTCGCACATGCGCATTTTTTGTTTTTGACTTTGTCGACTGCACAGTATCGCAGGATTAGTTCGGCACCATCTATGAGAAAAAGAGCAGTCGCCTTTTTTGTGAAAGGGGAGGAGAATTGCATCGGTCCAGTCCTGAGGTAGTTGCTCAGCACGCCACACAGCGTCGAGCATTGGGTGTAGGCATCTGGCCATAAGGTTAGGACAGCACTTGTAGAGTTCCGCCGGAAGACCGTCCTCACCAGCAGCTTTGTTATTCTTTTGTCTTTTGATGACATCACGTATCTCTTCTTTCGTTGGAGAATCGCAGTTGGCATCATACTCGGGGGCGTTTGTTAGGGTGCTAGGGGGACGTTGAGAGGGAGGGTCATGGTTCAGAAAGGTTTCGAAATGCTGCTTCCAACGGATTATGTGGTCTGCCATCTTAGAGATAGGCGTTCCATTCGTGTCCAGCAGCACTTCGCTTAGCCTGCTGTTTCCCTTAGTTGCCGTTTTAAGAGTCTGGTATAGTTTTCGGGAATCTCCTACTGATGCCGCTTGCTCCATGACTTCAGCGACGTTTCGCCAGTAAGTACTGAGATCAGCCTTCACAGAGCGAGAAGTCTCAAGGCGCAATCGGCGGATGTCGTAGTTCTCGGAATTCTCTCCGCGAACTTCCCCCTACCTGATCGAGTGGCTGTAACCCTCGATGGTGAAGCTGTGGAAGAGGTCGAAAGCCTCAAATATCTTGGCGCCAATTTTACAGCCACTGGTCAAGCGAAGGACAAAATCACCACCTGTATAAATTTGGCTAGAGCTGCCTTTGTCCGTCTTCAAAAACGACTTTGGACTCGCTAGGAGATAAGACGATGCACGAAGTTACGAATCTACGAAGCCATGGTCAGAACAATTCTTCTCTATGGTTGTGAGACCTGGCCATTGCGCAGAGAGGATCTTCATAAGCTTGAGGTCTTCGATCACTACTGCCTCCGCCGTATCCTGCGCGTGCGCCTCTCCGACCGGATTCCCAACTCGTCCATCCGCGCCAGATGAAACATTCTGGGCCTGGAAGAAACTCTGCTTAACAGGAGACTCCGGTGGTTCGGCCACGTGCTGCGGTGGCCTGTCGATGAGTTCGTCCGTAAACTGGTGGCGCCAAACGCACCCACTGGTTGGAGGAAGCGCCGAGGTGGTCAACTCAAGACGTGGCTCGCAACGGTCAAAGCAGATATGGAACTCATGTCCGGTCCTCGCGTTTTCCGAGTCCGACGCTGGAATCGCGAATAGCACGATCATGCCATCGATTCTGCTGCCGATCGACGGGGGTGGATGGCCTTGACGCGCGATGCGGTTAATTCAATTGGAGCCGGCACAACCCACTCCGGGTGAATGCCGTTACAAGACAAGAGAAGAAAAGATGGCGACGTTATGCCTCTATTCATCTTCCCACAGAGGCTTTAAGGAGGTAGTGCAGCCCTGGGCCAAGAATGTGGCTGATGTCTGGCAACAGGACTCTGCACCATGCCAGACCACCTAACTCCTCAGACTGTAACCCCTTTGATAATTATGTGTAGAGCGCATTTGATCGAGAGACTAACAAAATTCATGTAATACCAAAGATGAACTGAATGCAAGGATTTTGGCAGTATTCACTAACTTTAACAAGGAGACTGTTCAGAAGAATTTAAAGAGATTCCAAAGTCGACTGGGAGTCGTGGTTATAGTCCAGAACGATTTTATTGAAAAAATATTTAGTATTTCAAGATATTTTTGTGTAATTTGGGTAAATGTATCTGTTAAAATGAGATATCAGTGTCATTTTCATTTTTACGCAGACACACATACACACTTGGTCGTCCATCAGGACTCATACATATATAAACATATGTGGACAGTTTCGGATATGACATATGTATGTATACGGGTGGTGTTGTGTCTATACATACGCATTTGTATGATGAAATTCAAAGATTGGAAGTGTAGCGAAAATTTCTCGTGAATGTATACATGTCATTTTTCTATTTTTCCACTGAATAATATTTCCTCGCATGTATGTATATACGTGTGGTGGGGTTTGTGTAAAATTATGATAGGTAAAAATTATTATTAAAAATAATAATTCTGTGTAAAATTATGATAGGTAAAAATTATTATTAAAAATAATAATAATTTTTACCTATCATAATTTTACACAAACCCCACCACACGTATATATTTATATATTTAAAACTATTATTAAAAATAATAATAATTTTTACCTATCATAATTTTACACAAACCCTACCACACGTATATACATACATGCGAGGAAATATTATTCAGTGGAAAATTCAAAACATAAAAATGTTGATACAGTTCTCTTTAAGACAACATAATCAGTATTAAAATTTTATATTTTTTTCAAGTAGCAAAAATATGTTCATGAAGCTGCATTAAAAACACATATTTATCCATTCAGAGAAATATTTACCAAATATTTTCACTTCCCCTCTTTTTAACATACATTTAATTGGTTAACTCTCCCAAATTATCCTGTTAATTAATTTTGTTGTTAATATAAATTGATTTTAATTTTTAAAACTCTGTATACTGGTAATATCTATTATTGTATCATTGTGAAGTAAGTATTTTTTCATCATCTTTGAAACAAATTGTACAGTTAACAAAAATCACAATAATTTTTGTAAAGATTATCAAAATTATTATTGCTCTATTATTTTACATTTTTGTAAAGTATTTTCAGACTTTGTTGATACACAATTGCTTTCTGATTGTAAAATTATATTTTCTGTAATTAATTGGTATAAACAAATTAACTTATTTTTTCCTTTTATGCAACATCATCTAAAATGTCTCTAATTTATGGGGAAGGGGAATAAAGTGACCTTTATGTATTTAATTATTGTATGGTAGAGGAGGCTATTTCTTTTTTTCTTTGTAAATTTGCATTTATGGAAATATGTGAATAATTGTAAGCTGATTCATAATATTATGTATAGCAGCAAATTGACTAATTACTGGATATTACTAGCAAGTTCCTTGCAAAAATGTTCGCAGTAATTGTTATTAATAATAATTTAATTTTCCACATGGCAACCCCAAGTCGCGGACCCCAGCCGCATGGTTACTAGGTCTGGTATAAGGATCGCCTTGGGTCAGACTCATTATGGTGAGCAACTATTGCTTTGAGGGTGTTGTTTTGTAAAATATCACTATTGTGCTCAAAACAGAAAACGTAACACACACAATTTTTAAAAAACAACACAGAACAATTACAATGACAATGATGTTGCAACTGTCTTAGCCGATTTTTTTTCATAACTTGAATTTACCTCACTTTTATACAAACGGCTGCACTTTGTATTCTACTCACCTCTTTAGTCTTTGTTACTGTCTTTGAAGGGATATACGACCATATATTGATATGCAACACAGCCAAACCTCGTAAAGGTTTGTTTTGAGTATATCTGGAGAAAAAATTAAAAACAAAAAAAATAAAAACAGTATAATTTAAGCAATTTTTTAAAAAAAACATCAAGTTCACTGCAAGCAAGTCAGTAAATCCTAGGTAAGGCACAAAGGGTTATTGGATGTGGAAGAATTAGAAAACAGAAACATGACTAAAGAACGAGAACAATAGAAGAGTGAACAAGAAGACAGTAGGTAACGATTGACATTGCATTTAAATTTTCGAAGATTAAACTTGGCTGAATAGCATGGAGCCGGAAGAGATTTTCACAGGGTAGAAGTTCATGAAAAGAAACTGTTAGCATAGAACTTGTGGTTTCATCTAGCCAACTCAACAGTATATCAATGAAACATCGTCACCAGTCTGGTGCTGCGCTTAAATTCATAAAGTCTAGGTATCATAGCAACGAGCATACCATGAAATTCCAAGGCACTAGAACAGAACCAATAATATGGCTAATTCTATGAATTTTATCATGAATCTCTAGATATATATCAGGAGCGCTGGACCATATGTGGCATCTAAATTCTAAGCATGGACTTATAGAGATGTAAGATAGATTCTGGAGAAAGAAAATTGTCTAACTCGATACACTGAGTAGCAACTCTTAGCAGCTGAATTAGCAATGGATTCAATATAGTCTTTCCATTTTAGCTTAGATCGTTGGCCCGGGAAGGTGCAACGGATCATTCTCCTGGAGGTTAGCATTAGCTCTGCTGATGGAAGGTAGAAATGGGTTTCTCGGATTATTAATAGCAGTTTAGTTTTGGAGGCGTTTTGAGATATCCGTTAACAACAGATTGAAGGTCGTTTTTGACATCAGCCGCCAGTTTGACCGTATTGTGCTGATCGGATTTACTATCAAGATAGAAGTAAATGGTTGTCATCAAGATAGATGTCAAGCTGATTGCTGATGCCATTAAGAATGAATTTTTTGATCCTACATTAATATGATTATTACAAACAGATCGGAATATCGAAAAGTCCCTAAGAAATATGGGTATTTCATATAAAAGGATGATTGAAGCTCGATTTTTTTTTGCATACCGATGTGAACGAGAAAAGAAACTCCAGCGTGGGATTATTGAAAAATTTAAAGTAAGTGAACATTTTATTTACTAAGCTTAGCTTAGTTCTAGCGAAATCTCATAAGTATAGGGCACTCAGTGTGGATCAAAGCCGCTATTTAGTAGTGATGGTCAACTAGACAAGCTCACTAATCATAAGTGATGCTTAGTAAAAAAGTAAATAAATAACTCGTATAATAATAGCAATGGTTCTTCTCCAAATTAATCAACCGAAACGTGATAAAAATTACTCGTCTAAATCACAAATGAAATAACCAAAAAAATGTATCTTACCTGGCGGTGACTTTGACTCTAATTGTTCGTTTTAGCAGGTGAAACATTCCCAAGTTGAAGTTTGGAAGGAAAGGGGTGACTTCAGTTTTCACTTCAAAACGAGGGAGCACTGAACAAAAAAAATGTGGAAGGTTAAATCTCAAATGCCAAATATGTAATCTTTAATCTTTCAAATGCATGGGTAGCGTAACGTCCAAATTTGTTCCGCTGACTTAATAACCCTTACGAAACGCACAAATACCTCTTTTCTCTCATTGGCTATGGATTAAATAGCGAGATAGACAAGAGAAAATATAGCGAGAAAATTGGAGTAGAGAGTTTCGCCTATCGCCCGGTTGAATAGGAGTAGAGGTTTATTCCTTGTTTCCAGTTTAGGAATTGGTTTCTGATTTTTTCTAAAGTCTTTTCATTATCTTTCAGTGCCAATAGCGCCTTGCTTGGGGTGAAGTGGTTTTTAAAAAATGGCAATGTGCTACCATTTTTCCAAGAATTCACAGCAAATCACGGATATTATTCAAGTTCAACGTCAGAAAATACCTGAGAATGTGTAAGTTAAGAATCTCAAAATTCCACATCCCAATTTGCAAAACACAACAACTACCAGTTCACCCAAAGCAGTGTTCTTCTATTGGGGTAAAAAATGTGATTGGTCGTAGGCTGGTAGGTTTGTTTTCGTTTATTTTGTTTTACGGCATATCAAAACCTCAATAGCTTATTTAATACCGACAAGAATTTTAGGATAGGTTCGTATGAATAGAATATGTATTTGTAAGAAATCAGTTTATAGATCAGGTTTCATTGACGTAAAGCGGGTTTTTGTCAAAAGTCAAATGTATTACCGTAATGATTTTTTTTCAAAAATGTATTCAAAAGGTAATATCACTACTATAAAAATCTTATTTTTATACTTTCATAGTGTTTTGACCCTAGTTTGAGGGCTCAGTATTCTGTTAGGGTCCCAACCATTCAATGGCTGGGACCCTAACAGGTGCTATCACCTCGGTCTAGTGTGGACCTGGGAACAACAGCAATTAAGAGGCAGTTCTATGTTCCGCAAAACCTCTCGATCAGGGGCCTTGCTGTCGGATATAGTTTATCGTCATACACAGGACAGGAGACTGGTAGGGAAATGCAAACAATTATCATAATTAGAGACACCGACTAAAGTCGACCCGACCTGATTTTCATTTTCGACAGATAGCACAAATAGCACGATTTCTTTTTCAAGGTAAGACTTCATTTTCTCTTTCGTCGTCACATGAAGTAATCTGTGTAGAGATGATCGTATATGTATGAACTTGACATCGTATCTAGTACTTTATTCTTTCATGGTTAACCGTATCCGCACAGTATACCTAAAATCAACAACGATCCATGCATATCTTAAATTATTATTATTTTTTTTATTTTAAACACTTTGAATATTTGGATTTAGACAACGACGTTACCAGTGGTCGCGAACTGCACCAAGTGACAACGTCTAATGATGCGGCACAAAAATTACAGTCGATAAAATTTTCATGCCGTGTTTCAAGGGAACACCTTGCGGTTGTTGCTATAAAGGCTGTTTTTTTTTTTTATATTCGCTGAATTTTAAAAATTTTCTGATGCTTTAGCAACAATATTGTTACACCGTAAATTGTGGCCGACAAGTTGACCTAGCGTACAAGTCAACCTGGCGTACAAATGGAGCTCAAGATTTTTAGCTCGAAATTCTTAGGCTTATACCTACAGTATAGGCCGATCCACAAACATACAGTAGGCTACTAATGGCCCAAAACTTAGGCTTACTGATAAATGAAGTTAGGCTACAGTATACGGTAATCTGTACTAAAGGTCACGCTAGTTAATCCTATATTGAGTCATTAACCGGATAATTTAAGAAAACTTAACGAAGATTTAAAATTCAAATGGAATATGTTATTGGAAAACTGATTTACAGTAGTTGTTAGGAGTGCTGTTCCACTTGTTTACACATCGGTAATAAAGGTTTTGTACTCGCCATTTAAGTCAGCCCCTAGTTTTGAAAATATTTGTTAGGCTTAAAAACTCGACTTGTACGCCGCAAATACTTAATATTTGTGTATCAACAACATTCTTTTGAGAATCAAATAATAATGAAAGAAAAATAAGGAGTCGAATTAAAAGAGGCTTCTTGTGCATATTTACTTATAATCTTGTAATTCAATATAGAAATATTCTACAAAAAATGTATTATTTGTATTCATAAGCCAGAGTCCAAGTTTTAAGCAAAAACTTGAGGACGATTTTCACTCAAAGGCGTCTCCTTGCCAATTGAATAACATTAGAGAAGAGTGTTCCGGGATGCATAGTAACGTCACTCACTGATTGGTTGCCAAATTGCAACAATGCCGGACAACCAACTCTCGGGATATTCAAAATGGTCGTATACCTTCCGGACACAATTTGTACAGCTTTCAAGGCTGTTGGGTGTGCGCTGCTGTAATAGATAGCGACTCAAAATAAGAAATCGGAGAGCGGAGTTCGAGTCCCAGTCATATTCACTACATCCACTTACGCGAAAATAGCCTTGGGGTAGGTATAAACCCATCTCCTCTGTTATGATTTAAATAGTTATACTTGTATATGGAAAAATCATTGTTAATCTCAAATAAATTTTTAATGCAAAGCAGAGGAAATAATTATTCTTACAATCCAAAATATATTCGCCTTTAAATAACTCACAAAGGGTCGATAAGCTGTAAAAAATATATTCGCCTTTAAATAACTCACAAAGGGTCGATAAGCTGTAAAAAATATATTCGCCTTTAAATAACTCACAAAGGGTCGATAAGCTGTAAAAATATATATTCGCCTTTAAATAACTCACAAAGGGTCGATAAGCTGTAAAAATAACAAATGAATCAATGCTGTTAATATGATTTTCTGTGTATAACTTTGTGTAGCATATTAACTACTTTCAATGACAGAGAAAGTCAGTGCTTTTTTAAGGTTTGTTTTTATCTCTTCCCTGGTGCATCGCTTTCTCGTCAACCCGTAGACAGTTCACAAAACGCTAAAACCTTTGGTCTATAGTGATTTAATTATTTACAATGAAAATCCCAGGATGGGAAAAGTCCCACGCTATACGACACAATACACTCCTACGTCTGGGAAGGTGACATAGCGAAGACAGAAGATTGCTTTTTGTCGTTTGAAGGTAAATAAGAAAAAAAGAAAAAAACTCACCGTATTCCTCGACCAAAAATGTTCGAATTGAATGTTCGCCCTGTTCAAGAAAAAATTAATATTTTGGTTAAGTAATCAGAAACGAAAAATCCATATATTATTAGGTTATCTCAAAATAATGTGGTTTTGAAACAGCAAGGAATAAAAAAAAACACAGTATGAACCGTTAAAGCTCTATGTAACTAAAACACTTGATATCAACATACCTAAAAATACAGGGTGTTTCAAAAAATTTGATATCATTTCGCAATCTAATAACTTTGTTAGATCTCCTTCAAATGACTTCAAATTTTAATAGCATCTTTATGTTTAATGTTTGTTTTATGTTTTTATGTCTTTATGTTTTTTGTGTTTTTCTTATTTGTATTTTTAGTTCTTTAATCTTTAATCTTTTTCTTTACAGGTATAAAAATGCTATTTACTAGAAGAGAAAAGGCGTTTTGTGTGTTGGAGTTTGCTAGAACACAGTCAAACATATATATATATTGTTTAATATGTTTGTAATTTAGATCTTTGATAATGGCTTAAGTAAGCCGAAAGCTTAGATTATATTAAAAAATATGGATCAATATTGTGAATTTCTTTCTTCGTTTAACGATAATGTTATTAATTAAACTTATCAGATGTTACGAAAAAAATTACATAAAATAAATAGACAACACTTGTCTATATTATTTAATGAAACGTGTATAAATGAAAATATGCTGCCTAAATACACACAATATATATCTATATATATATATATGTGTGTGTGTGTGTGTGTGTGTGTGTGTGTGTGTGTGTGTGTGTGTGTGTGTGTAGAAAAAAAGAACATGTTGATAAAATAGCGAAGGTCATAAAGCACTTCCCGGGGCTCCCAAGTAGGCTTCCCCCTCGGGAGTAGTACGTGCTGGATCTGAATTCAGTAACGTAGCTTGATAAAGAGATGCAAGGCTGATGTGATCAAAGGAGCCGTTGCTCGTATTCACTAAGATGACCTCTTGAAACACATTACAAGCGGACTAAGGACATATCACCATGTGTAGACATGGATTTAGTCAAAGAACACCGAGACAAAACAAATATTCATAATGAGGCTTAATTTCATATATCGTCATTAATCCAACCCTGTTGCTTGAAAATGGAGGCATCTATTTACTTTTGTTGCGTCTATGTATTTAGATTTAGAGAATATTCTTAAAACTGAAACAACAGAAATGAGGCTCTACAGAAGGATGCTGAGGATACGATAGATCAAACGTGGATAACGACGAAATTTTGGAGAAAATGGAAACAAAAAAGAGACTCATACATCGGAAAGAGACAGTTGAAATTTCTGGGGCACATAATGAGGAAGGCAGGCATGGAAAATCTGATAATCACAGGAGAAATTGGGGGAAAGTGTGACAGAATAAAACAGCGTGTAACATACTTGATGGGCTTGAGTAAATGGGTGGTAGAAGAGGGTTTGAGAGAAATAGCAAAAGACAAAAGAGCTACAAGGGACAGGAAGATGTGGAGGGTCATGATTGCCTACACCCTGAAGAGGGACACGGAACATAAAGAAGAAATAAAGGCTGTTGTTGGGGAATATTTGTTTTTAAATATGTTACGTGTGTCTTACCTTGTGCCAGACTTTGATAACCCATTCATCCAACAAGGGCTGGTCTGAGAGTTCAAATGATTTGGAAATAACTCCTGCGAAATAATAATAATAATAATTAAATAAAAAAAAATAAAAATAAACATGCAGTGAAATTTAAAGAAAAATTCACCACGAAAAACTACACCAAATTTCTCAAAGTAAATCTATCTATATAAATAAAGAGTAACGTACATGTGTTCGTCCGTCGATCCGTTTTGCGATCTCAGCGAAACAACCTGTACTAACAGGGACTAACTACTTTCGTTACATGCGATTAAAAATTAAATAAATAACTCATTTAAAGTAAAATTGAAATATTAAACAGAGTGAACGATTTAAAAAAACAATTCTTTATTAAAGGTTAAACTTTAATTTCGCTTCTTGTCGCATTTGCAATTGATATCGTCTAATTAAACCGTAATTAAAACTTAACCAGGGGCACGGTACGTTGCTCATATGTTTTTTTTTTTTCCTTTTTCTAACACGCTTATTGTGACGTATTCGAAATATTACATAATTCCGGTTCCCTAATGTCTTTTAAGAATGACTTTATGTGAACGGATCATAAAGAATGGTGATTTTAAAAGAAAATAAAAATTGCGCGCAAAATAAATGTAAACAAACTATGCAGATCGGTTGCGCATCCGAAGAAAAATTATGCCGAGTTAAGGTGTAATAAGAATAAAATCATTTTATTATTTCAAAATTCTTATAACTTTACGTACATAGATTGGTCAAAATCCGCCCGAAGGGCGGCTTCTAGGCTAGAGCAGAATAAAGATACGTTGACACTTAAGTTCACCAAAGGAAAGTCCACTACCAACAAATCACAGCGAGGAAGGTTTATATCGAAAAAACTTAACCGTGAGAAAAGTTTAACACGCGGAAGATTCACCATATAATTTCATTAGATTTTACAATTAATAATTGTAGAATATATATATATATATATATATATGTGTGTGTGTGTGTGTGTGTGTGTGTGTGTGTGTGTGTGTGTGTGTGTGTGTGTGTGTGTGTGTGTGTACTAGTTTAAAAGCCACACTATTGGCCGGCATTTAAGCTAGCACCTGCACCTGCAGACAGCAGTTGATTGGACGTTCATCACAATAGTAAGGGAGGAGTAGATGCAATAGGCAACAATAAACTACAGAATAGCTTAAAATTGATCACTGCATTCAAGTATTGCATTAATATTCAAGCTTACCTTTTAAAAGTTCAATGATAATTCTTTTGCCGCCGCTTAATTTAAAGACAATTTGATGTACGTAGGTCTTTACTCTCCATGCAAGCAATTATTTTTTTTACTCAAGAGTGACTTTCGCTGGATTTCACAATTAATTTTGATTATTCCCAAATTTATTTCCAAGTAATAAAAAATGTTATCGTACAAAGAAATTCGTCGCAAAAAAATCACGTAAAAAAAATCGCAGTAATGAAAAATTGGGATTTCAGAATTTCAGGATTTCGGGTTCAGATCGAGCCCAGAATTTTTTTAATTTGCTAAGGGAGTCGGCCTGATTCCTAAATGGTAAAGTGGAAACAATGTAACACAGTGACACGCTGACATTGGCATTTATTACCTGGGAGATGAGCTAAGTTGTGTCCCTTTAATTGAAAGGACATTTATTATATAGATGAAGGAGATGAGCTAATGAGAGTTGTGTCCCTTGGCATTTATTATATATATATATATATATCACATATAAAAACACATAAACCTAACTATCCTCTCCGTCCTATCATATCGCAAATTCCAACTCCTGTATATCAGCTAACAAAATACATTAACCAACTTATTACTCCCTACCTTCCTAGTAAATATAGTGTTAAGTCAACATTAGAAGTAATCCAAAGCCTAAAAAGTGAAAAAACCATCAATGACATCATAGCTTCACTTGATGTTGAAAACATATTTACCAATGTAGCTGTAATGTAGTCCCTTTCTTCGATCATAATAATAATATATATATAGAGAGAGAGAACATGATGGTGTCTCCATGGGCACAGTACATTTAGCAATTTCTACGTGTCGAACTTCGAAAATAAGATATTTACAGATTTAAAAAAAAACATCCATCTACCTAAGATACGTTGATGATATTCTTATGTTAGTTAAAAATACAGATGGAATACTTCAACTTCAAAAACATTTCCAAAATAATTCTGTCCTTAAATTCACGTATGAACTCAATACTACTAATAAAATACTCTTCCTTGACATATTGATAAACACAAATAATAACAAATTTACTATTTCGCCATACAAAAAAACTATAAACATAAATTCATGTACACTTAACTACAAGAGCGAATGCCCATATTACTACAAAATAGCAATTATAAAGAATCTAATACATCGTTCAGAAACTAATTCATCCACAAAACAGATTTTTACAGTGAACTAAAGAATATAAAACAAACACTTATTAATAATAGCTTTCCAAACTATATAGTTGATGAACAAATAAGATGCTTTCTTAGAAATCTCAATACTAAGCAAATACTGCTTCTACTAATCTCAAACATATTAATCTCCTATATCGTAATCAAATGCATACTAATTATAAACAAGATGAAAATATACTAAAAAACATTAGTAAATACTAATATATCTACAACAGATCCTAGCAAAAAAATTAGTATATCCAACTCAGTTATTCACAATGATTCTTCTCCCCCGGTTAGCGATTTGCAAAAAACCAACATAGTTTACAAATTCAAGTGCTTTTAGGGAGATTGTATCTCCAACGAATTAAATAATATTTATTTTTGGTCACACCACAAACTCGCTTTCACGACGCTTGACACTGCATTTGAATGATAACTCTAACATTTTTAGGCATTTAAAACAATATGCCTGGCCGCGTACACAATTCCGTAAAATCCTTGTAGAAAATACAACTGTACTTAAACATGAAAACAATAAACAAAAGCTAAAAATTCTTGAAACTATATACATAACAGTTGAAACCTAACCTGAACAAAATAAACTATGAAATCTCCACAAATATTCTGAAATGTCTATAATTGGTAACTGAAGCCAAGCATTGGTTTATACCAACGGCTTCCCATACTTAATACTTCTCGAATTCACTCTCGCGTGGCCATGTGTGACGTCATGAGCTGCGGTGTGATTTTCGCTTCCAGCGTCTTATATGCACGTGTTTATCGTTGCTTGGAAATCATCCATGTAAACAGAAACAGACTATCATCACTTTCTTGTACGGGTATTGCATAATATATTGTACTGTAATTGTCATCTTTGATAATGGCTTATGTAAACCGAAAGCTTAGATTGGATTAAAAAATATGGATGAATATTGTGATTTTCTTTCTTCGTTTAATGATAATGTTATTAAGCTTATCAGACCTTATGAAAAGAATTTACATAAAATAAATAGACAAAACTTGTCTATATTATTTCATGAAACATGTATGAATATATATATATATATATATATATATATATATATATATATATATATATATATATGCGTGTGTGTGTGAGTGTGTGTGTACTACAATTCAAAAAGTTTGAGGACACTCCTAGTAATTCTTTTGTACTTTTAAACAAGAGAAAATTATCTGTCTATATTTCTGAGATGAGGTGTTATGTATACTATTTACACTATTCGGACAATTGTCTTCATCTTTGTCGCCATATTTATTACAACGTTTCGGCCGTTGTATGCTCCGGCCTTCTCCAGGTGGTTGGAATGTCGAACTGAACCCTTTATTTCGCTCGCTGGGGTAGACTGTTTTAGTTTCACGTGCCATGTCTAATGGATGTCATTTATTAGTTATCTCCTGTTAATTCCCCTCTCCACTACCTTAACCAGGTATTGAAGTCACACTCTTTTGGGTCCTGTCACTGGATCTAACTAACGACTTCATCCACCGTGCCGACATCCATTAGACATCCCTTGCATGGGGGTGATACCGATTAAAAAACTACTATAATAACGTTAGAACTAATAACAATGTCGGATTAAAAATAAATCCATTAATTCTTTAATTTTAGTATAGACAATTAAAAAAATTGGCCTGATTACCGTTTACCTGACCCACAGTCCGGGAGATAGATAATGACTTGAAAGAAACGTTTAACTAAACGGAATAAGCCTTATTGAATAAAATAGTGATGCAATTTCATCACAAGTAAAGCTCAAGCCTCATTGAACAATTGGATCACCATAATTGAGTTATTGTTACAGCTTTACTGTTAATTGTAATTAGGTTGAATATAATTGTTTATTGAAGTCGGATCGAGACAAATAATAGGTGAAGTTTTAGTTACTATTTTATTTATATTTTTTCTTTTACTGTTGTTCACCCGACACAAGGGTCAAGAGCCACTCAGGATAGAGGGTTACTCGTTGTTGAAAATTGTCTTGAGACTTGAATTAGTTTCTCGCTATTCTATCGTTATTTCCATGGCAAATGTTCTGACGAGATATATTATTTAATTTCACCAGTTTAATCAGTATGTCTGATGCTAACCTCCTGGAGAGTGACTCCTGGCGACTTATCTGACTAACGTCTTCTTCTGGTATTATATTGCATCAATTGCTACGTCTGCTGCTAGGAAAGGTTTTTCACCATATCGTGCTAGACAACTTTTCACGCCAGAATCTATCGTACACGTTTATTAGTCTATCATTCGACCATCCATTGAATATTTCTGCCACATCTAGTCTGGCACTTCTGTTATATATTTACAGGGTCTAGATAAAATACAAAGATGAATTTGCAATGTTATTGGTCCTGACCTGGCATCTTGGATTCAATTACCTCCTTACCGCTGTAACATAGCTTCCCTCTTTTTTGTAAATATTTTCATTGTAATTGTTTAAAGTTTCCTCTATGGTACTTAGGCTTTATGAATTTAAGCGAAGTCAACTTTGATCTTCAAAAAATTAAATGCAATGTTAAACGTTGTCTTGTGTCTGTCTAATTCTTGTTTCCTTTCCTTAATAATGTTTTTTTTTCTCATAATCTCTCACATCCAATAATCGCTTGCATCTTAGTGGCTTTATTGCCTTGCTTTGTGTGGAATGATAAAAAAATCGTTCAGACATTGTTACGCATGGTACAATAGATATCCTTTTGGTATTCCATTGGTAAGGAGGAAGTTCTATTCGAACGGCTTCTTCGTAAGAACAACTACTTTGGGAAACAGACTCCCGAGGAGAGGCTTCCCTGATCGCTACAATCTTAGCCTCTCGGGTTAACCGTCATTTACTAATCTTCTGCCTTGAGTGGCTCTTGGTCTTGTGTTGAGTGAACAACAGTACCAAAAAAAAGAAAAGAAAAATAAATAAATAAAAAGAATAACAATAATTTAAAGTTTTCTTAGGTTTTCTTTGAATTCATTTTCACCACTGCCATTATCAGCCTGGGTATTTATCAACTACATTTAGTTAATTGTTTTATTCAAGTCGTTATCTTCCTCCAAGACGTTGAAACACCAGTTCTCTTTCAGTCATCGAAATTAAGCAACGTCGAGTCTGGTCAATAGAGTTCCAATTCCCACTGTGTTCTTTATATTCACTGACGCGCAAAAACCCTTGGAAAAGGCATGAATCCACCTCTTCCTTCCACTAGCTAGGAATTAATTAATAAGGCTTGTATTCTAATACATTATTATCTCCAAAAAGCAAATTCTTACAGTCTAAAAAATATTTTCTGGCTTTAAATAACCTGCAAATGGTTGATAAGTCGTAAAAAATGAATGAATCAATAAATCAATCTAGTACTGTTTTCCGGGTAAACGGTAGTCAGACTATCTTTTTTATAGTATATATAATTTTTTTTTGATCTGCAAAAATTGAATACGGGAAGACAACATAAAAATGTTTCAGCAATAATAATAATAATAATAACCGAAGGTTTTATTCTTGCTGCACAGAACCAATGCTTACAAACTAGAAATTACCAAGGGCACATATTCAAAAACTGTGTTGACCCAACAAGCAGATTCTGTGATAAACATCCAGAAACAATTCAGAATATGGTATCAGGTTGCACGGTATTGGCACCCATTGAATATGAAACCTGGCATGAGTGGGTCAATATCTGCATTGCGGGAAGGAAACGGCAAGAAATTGATATGAACATCACCCAGACATGCTTACAGAGATAAGACCTGTAACAGTTTCATGGGACTTAAAAATACTCACAGACAGAACAATGGAAGCCAATCGCCCATACATTGTGATCAGAAATCACTAAAACAGAATGTGTTTTCTTATTGACATGACAGTCCCTGAAGATTGTAATGTATCTTTGAAGATCTTCAAAAACTATCAAAATGTAAATATCTTGAAGTGGAAATCTCAAAAATGTGGCACATGAGAACATCAATAATTCCAGTTGTAGTTGGAGCACTCGGATTGATTGGAAAATGTTCTAATAGATTCACTTGAAGGATTTCTGATAGGCCATACCTTAAAGAAATACAAAAAACAGTATTCACAAGTACAGCTCACACGTTAGAAAGAGCTTTATCGATGTAAAATGTATGTGATATTGGGTTTTTTTTTATTTGTTTGTTTGTTTTTTTGTTTTTTGTTTTTACAAAAGAAAATGATCCGTGGAAAATGTTATGAAGCCATTTTTGACCTTAAGTCTCTGGTTGGGTCCCGGATGGAAATGGGTATACAACAAAAATCAAAGGAAATACAATAATAATAATAATAATAATAAACTGACCTGAAGCAGCGATTTGATTCAGCCATTGACCCAAAAGGTTGTGTTTGCTGTCCTGTGTTTAAGAGAACACAAACAATCAGTGACTTCAAAATAATTTATTGAGAGACAAAAATCAAATCCGAAAACATTTTCCAAGAAGACAGTCATTCCAACCGTGGAATAATCCACACTGATAATCTAAATGTAATAAATAAGAAACAGGAAATAACTTTCAAAAAATTAATGAACTTACAAATGTTAACGGTAATATTTGCCATTTCATTAGAGGAAACCTTCGATATTCGTTGATTAAACAAATTGTCTTACTGTCGGTTGAAAATTATAAAATCTTTCCATTAATACAATTTTTTAGGATAATAGGTTTCCTTCAGTCCTTCAGTTTCATTCACCAACTTAAAGAAGGAGACCATCCAGAAGAATTGCAGGGGATTGCGAAGTCTTCTGGAAACCATGGCGATTTTATTGGATAAATTTACTCTTTAGTATTTCAAGATATTTTTGTGTAGTTTCGGAAAAAAAATCTGTTAGAATAAGATACAGTGTAACCCGGATATAAGAGAGTTGTCGGGACCGGAGAAGAAATCTCTTATATCCGGGTTTCTCTTATATCCTGGTTTGGTCTATTTTATATACATTAACACTGGCTCTAATTTGGGACCAGAGAAAATCTCTCTTATATCCGGGTTTCTCTAATATCCGGGTCTCTTACATCCGGGTTACACTGTACCAGTAGTATTTTTTTTTCATTTTAGCGAATTTAAACGACAATTTATCCATCGCAACGTGTATGTGTGTCTACATTTAAAAAGAATTAATGGATTTATTTTTAATCCGATAAATTCAAATGTGATCTGATTATTTGAGTGTTTACAGATTGCATCGACCGAGTTTAATTTCATAAAAAGCAACAATGATGATGAAAGAAAAAGAACTCAGCAAAAATTAATAACGAATTTACTATGTCAGAAGACGACATGAAACTTAGTAACTATTTTAAGGGAAATAATTCAGATAATTTTATGAGTTATTTCCCTTTGACCATGATATTTTACGGCAACGAACTACTTGAAGTTGGTCAAATTTTCATGAAACAATTTACTTCACGGCTAATGCGTACAATCGACTTACAATGTTATAGTGGAATTTCAGAGAATATATATATATATATATATATATATATATATATATATATATATATATATATATATATATATATATAGCCTGACGATAGCTTTTAAGCATGAAAGAGACCGTCGGCGCTGTGTATGGAGTTCAATATCCAATTTGGTATTTACATATGCTTTATCCATGATATTGAGTACTTTAACTCACAAATATAGCGTACCATCTAACTATATATATATATATATATATATACTAGCGACATAATTATGTATATAAGAATTTCTTGGGATGAAATATCCAATTTTATTGTCGGTCGACATCTGATTGGTAGACACCACGCTAAATTTTATGTCATATATATATATATATATATATATATATATATATATATATATATATATGACATAAAATATTTAGAAAACTAACCTTCCTGTTTAGCGTGGTGTCTACCAATCAGATATCGACAGGCAATAAAACTTGATATTTCATCCCAAGAAGGGGGAAAGAAGAAAACAAATTGACATATCTTATATAAATACTCCTACCCAGGTTCGGGAAATATTCTTGCTTGCTTGCTTGCTTGCATATTGTCATGATCTCCGATCTTTAGTTAAGCAACTTAAGATCTTAAGGGTATAGCATAATCGCTAATTTCTCCTCTTGGAATTATTTACTAATCTTATTTCCGATGTTTTATGGCCGAATGCCATTTCCCAATAGGCCTTTGTTACTATTTTTCCTTGACTTTCCATACATAACTAACAAGTTTTCTGCTGTTTCTCTATCTAGTCTCTTTATCAGTATTACTTTAGCTCTATAAATAATCAATTAATTCTTTGTAAATGATCCATTAATTCTTTTTATATATATATATATATATATATATATATATATATATATATATATATATATATATATATATAATATTAGTGGTTAATATATATATATATATTTTCAAGAGGATAGAATCCAGGTAGAGCTAATTGTCCAGGGCAGAGCAAGAATATAATATAAAAGGCTCAAACATTAATATTAGGGTTTTGAGCCTTATATATATATATAATTAATAAATTTTAATATATATAAAGAATTAACTCTTTACGCGCACACACACACACACACACACACACACACACACACACACACACACACACGCAATGTAAAAAATCAATCTTGCACTATTGAAAATTGCAAACGAGAAATACAAATAGTCAATTGCTGATACCCCCTGACGAATGGATGGAGGATGCGTCTATGAAGCTCCGAAGTCGGGATGCTGTAGGTAGGATAAATCAGCTAACTGACAAATTTTATATTTGTATTAATTCTATTCTATATATATATATATATATATATATATATATATATATATATGTATATATATATATATATATATATATATATATATATATATATGTATATATATATAATGTACATATATATATATATATATATATATATATATATATATATATATATATATAGCATAATGAGAAGGACGCTACTTGCTAACAAACAGTAATTTTAATTTATTTGTAACAAAGTTATTTCTGATGAAAAATTGAGGACAATTTGAAATATCAAATATATATATAAATAAATAAATACTTTCATAAAATAAAACATTATAATTTTCAATTTGAAACTTTTTTCTATATATATTTTTATATATATATATATATATATATATATATATGCACGCTACTTATTGGAAAGTGCTCAATATCAGTGAAAGAGCTAACATATTTTGTTGTATGAGGTTGTGATTCTGGGTATCACTACTTTGGCTTGTTATCTATTTACATATTATATGCTGTTTATCGCTGAAATATCCTGGAACATTTTTTTATATTTTAATTACATTTTCCTTACGTTATATGTATGTTGTTATGTTTTACCATGTAGATATCAATCCAAATTTGTACGGTCTATTTTAACCGATATAATTGCTGTCGCTAGAATATAAATAAAAGAAAAATTATAATATTTAATTACATTTTCTTTATGTTATATATGTTATAATATGTTTTACTATATAGATATCATTCCAAAATAAAATTTGTGTGGTGTATATGTATTTCCTTGTAGATAACAAACCAAAGTAGCATCTAGGTGTCTTGTTGGATAAGTCTAAGAGGTTTTCTTACAGTAGGTTTCACAAGTTGTTGAAAGTGTGTTTCATGCTAAAAAGTTGACAATGTGTCAGTGATCTCTTTTTTCAAACATAGAATCTGTTGCACTGAGCCTAATAAATTGACTACTATATTTTTAGCAAAAAATAGAAAAGAAAAAAATATGAAGCTAATTTCTAGGTACATACGTAGATAGAAATGTTCATTGGTGCATGGACGGTCTTCAGGTGTCGGTTTAGACTGAACACTCGGAAATAAACTGTAATGGAAGAAAAAACAGTTTAATATTTATGGATAATAAAGAAAAGAATATTACCATTAAAGCATTTGAAATAATGAATTATTGGGTAACAAAGAAAAGAACAAGTTTAAGTTTGTGAATTAAGGCTTTCAAACACGTGACCAATATTGTCCTCAAATGTTTATAAGTTTAATAAATTCAATACATTTTTCCCTGGAACTCTCCATACTATTTTGCAGTTACAGTATTAAGCTTGACCTATCCAATAACAACAGTTAATTAATTTTAACATCAGCAGATCTGTTTTAGATAGCTAGTTAACGAATAGGTAGTAAGTAGTGGGGAAGTAGTACTAGTAGTATGTATATATATATATATATATATATATATATATATATATATGATAAAATTTGGTAATCTGCATGGATAATTCTAAAGGATATAGATCCAGGGACAGCTCAGTGTCAAAGACAGAGAATTAAATATTATTACAAAGAAAACGAACTCCATGGTGATATTTATTTCGTTAAGATAGAGAGTGTGTAAGGAGTTGGTCTGAAGAGTTGAGATCGAACTCTCGATCTTAACGAAATAAATATCGCCATGGTCTTTTACGAGTTTGTTTTTTTATATATATATATATATATATATATATATATATATATATATATATATATATGTGTGTGTGTGTGTGTGTGTGTGTGTGTAGAAAGAGAGAGAGAGTGTGAGAGAGGGAGGAGATAGATTGAATGAAAATATTCGAAACACTAACCTTCGTGCAACCACATTTGGTAGAAACTGTGGCTGCAAAAATGTCAATATTTCGGTTTTTGAAAATTGTATTGAGCACTCTTTTAATTTAGCGTTTCTTTTGGCAAATATCAGTTTTTTTACCTAAGTTTAGATTTATAATCACACACACACACACACACACACACACACACACATATATATATATATATATATATATATATATATATATAGGCAGCAAGTGTTCATCCAAACAAGTTTGATTAAAAAGAGCCGACAAGGCCTGTTTCATTTTTTTATTAGACTTTTTCTCAGTTTTCTGATAATGTGTTGCGTATTATACTTGAAGTTGCGTATAAACTGTCCGAAATTCATATTCTTTTATGTTTGAACAAGTCTTTTCGACTAACACAGTCTTTATCAACAAACGATGTGGTGTCTTTGTGGTAGTTAGAATTCATTTGTTTGCATCCTGGTATTCTTTGGGAAAATGGACGTTTGAAATGTTCTGTTGTGACGTCATGTGTAACGGCTGTTGGGAACGAGGCCGCGCAAAAAGAATACGATTTATTTATCTGATTTTATTTTTATAATTATTTTTTATGTAATACTAATAAAATATATGCGTACATTAATTATATCATATGCACTTCAAGATACCTTCTTCTGTGGTGAATGATATTTTATTTAATGTGAGCTGTTTATTTTGTATAATAATAGCCTCTAGAGTTTTGAGTCTTTCTTTGCAATGGGTGCTGCTGAGTATTTTGGTGTTATCTACCATATATATATATATATATATATATATATATATATATATATATATATATATATATATATATATATATATCATTATATATTATTATTATTATTATTTGTGTATGTTATGTTTCCTGCTTCTTGGCAACTTGTATGTTGATGTTACCTGGGACACTTTTAGTAAAATTGTCCATTCCTTTTTCTAGCGGTACTGAGCTCCGATTATTATTGGTACAGTATCAGTCTTCATTCCCCACATCCTGTTAATCTCGATCTTCAGTTCCTTGTATTTGGATAATTTCTCCATAATTTTCATTGAGATGTTTCTCTCAGATGGTACTGCTATGTTAATAAGCATATATTTCCTGAACTTCTTGTCTTTTATGATAATATCAGGACTTTTGGCTTTTATTTTCCTGTCAGTTTGAATTGCCATGTCCCAGAGGATAGTTACATTGTTATTTTTCGCAAAGGTTTGGTGCTCATACTGTCTTTCCGTAGTTTTGAGTTGGTTTCTTCTTGTATATCTTCCAGTGCGCGTATGTCGCTACTTTGTTATGTCTGTGAGTATATTCATCTTGCTAGTTCCGGACATCCTGGGATAATATTGTCGACAGTTTCATCATATTTTCCGCAGATCCTGCATTTCGGGTTAGTTCCATCTTTGATTATGTTACAGTGATCGGATTTGGTTGCGTGGCTTTGGTCCTGTGCTGTAATAATTAGGCCTTCTTTTTTAGTTTTCAACCCATTGCTCCTCAGCCATTAAGATGTGTTTTCTGTTAGTCCACATTTGTTTCTTTCGTTCTTTTTAGATATTTGCCACATTTTTTTTTTTTTTTTGTAATTTAATTTGGCCAAGTTTTGCTTTCTACTTTACTCGTTTGGCGTAGATGGTATCTGATTCGATTTTGTTGGTCGGATTTCAGGAATATTAAGCTGTTTTTTTAAGAGTGCAGCTTCTTTATTGATGGAGTGGATTTGCTGTTTTATTTTTTGCAGGTGAGGGTCATTGTTTTTTGTGAGATAGGCTTCCAATCCGATCGTTGTCGTTTTTAGAGTCAGTTCAAGTTGGATTAGACTTCGGTCTCCTAAATCTCTTGGTACGTACAACCTATCAACATTTGGTTTCGGGTGGCACATCCTCATTTGCGTAAGCATTTTTCTGGCCTTGGCGTCCAATCTATTAAAGTCATTCAACTTCAATTTAACTGAATTTTATTGAATCTGTATGCTACTACGGATATAGCTAAAGTGTTGATAGCCTCCATTTTATTGGCCTCTTTAAGTTCCCTTTCTAGTATCAAACGCATTCTCTTATAATATTCTTTTCCAGTTTTTTTCCTTCATAATTGAATGTTGTATTCCGTCTCCTTCATTAATTCCTAAGTTGATTCCGAACTCCATTCTAATGTCTGCGCTGAAGGTTTTGACAATGGTGAGTAGGTTTTTCTGCTGGTTGTGATCCTTAACAAACATTTTAAGATCATCAATATAAAATAAGTGATTCAGTTTGCCATTCCGTGACTTGTATCCGTAACTATTGTTTTTCAGTAGGCAACTGAGTGGCGCTAATGCAAGGCAGAAGTGCAGTGGTGACAATGAATCTCTTTGGAAGATCGCGCTTCTGATGTTGATTGGTCTCGATGTTAATGATTCGTTTGTATGGTTTAGATTTAGCGTAGTCTTCCAGTTTTTCATGCCCCGCCCCGTTGTGAATTTGACTGTTATGGGGCATACTCTGTATATTTTTAGACTCTTCTTTATCCATGTGTGTGGAACACTGGCGAACGTCTTTCTGTAGTCGATCCATGGTATCGATAAGTATCTTTTCCTTGTTTTCACCTCTTCAATATTGTTTTATTGATAATTAGTTTGTCCTTGCACCCGTAACTTCCTATTTTACATCCCTTTTGTTCTGCTAGCAGTAAATTGTTTTTCTCAAGGAAGTTGTATGTCTTCTCCGTAATGATAGAAGTGAGTATCTTGTACATTGTTGGTAGTCAGGTGATGGGTCTATACTTCTTCGGGTTCTGCGTCTCTTCTGTTTTGGGGAGTAGGTATATTAATCCCCCACGTGAGCCACTGGGGCATTTTTCTTGGTTTATGATTATATCATTGTATGCCCGTGCGAGGTCTTGGTTTGGTGCTAGATAGGTTTTATCTAAAAATTGGTTATTCGGTCTATTCCTGGTGTTCTTCAGTTTTTAGTTTTGCAGATGGCAGCGGATGTTTCAGTAATATTGATATCTATTCATTTTTGGCACTTTATATGTGTGTATTGTCCCTGTTGTTGCTTGATCCATGTAGCTCTTTCATTGTGCATTTTGCAGTTTTCCAACATCATACACTTGAAATCCTCGATTTCCCGGATATTAGGTGGGTCATTATTTATTTTTTGTTTTTTCCAAGTTCTCGATATTATTATTTCTTGACATCTTCTTTGAAGATCTTGTTTTGTCAGAAAAATCTGTTTCTTTTTTCATAATGCCTGATTCACTGTGCCCTCGCTTGTGATTTGCTGTTTCAGCTTCTCTTTAAATTTTGGTTCGCCAGTCTTATTCTTTATGTCAAGGTTTCGTTTCAGTTATCTCCCTTTTCTTTCTTTCATTGTGGAGCCCTTTGTCTACTTCACTTAGAAATGGAAATTGTCCTCGTAATTTATTTATTTCGGTTTCTATTATTTCTATCCACACTGGAATTTCTTTTTCGTTTACGTTGTGTTTTCACTTTTTCATCAATTGTTTATATATATATATATATATATATATATATATATATATATATATATATATATATATATATTTCATGTTTTTCTTTTCAGCTTTTGGAAGTAAAGTCTGATGATCCAGAACCCTGTTAAAGGGGTTATGGTGAAATACCTTATTACATGGAATCTTAACGTGGTCTGTCTTTTATTCAATATATATATATATATATATATATATATATATATATATGCATATATATATATATATGTATGTATGTAGATATATATATTTATGTATATATATATGAGTATCTATCTAAAAGTAACTTTTAAACAAATACATAAAAAATCTGTCGTATCAAATATATTTCCTAAAAAAAATTGTCTTTGTTTATATTAAGATACAAAACAGAGGAGATATGTAAATTTCGAGAAATGACGTTTTTTCTTCTTGGGGACATATATTCGAATATATATATATATATATATATATATATATATATATATATATATATATATATATATATATATATATATGTTTGTGTATGTGTAGAGAGAGAGAGAGTGGATGGTTGTATTTATCCAGCAATTTTTCATTGATACAAGTTTGAGTAAAGATCAAAGAAAGTTCTTCGTTAATTTTTTTTTTTTTTGTATTTTTCAATAGTTCGGGTCATTTTCATGGTTTCCGGTACATATAAATTGTTTCTTAAGCTATTGTCAATTAATCTTTTGTCCAATGTCAGTTTCATCATTTTTTCAAATATCGCGCTTTTGCTTTCAGTTTTATAAGGTATCTCGTCTTAACGTGGAAAAAACCAACACATCACGAACTGCCAACGTGTAACTGTCTTTAATCAAACTTACACACACACACACACACATATATATATATATATATATACAATTGCATGAATGTATATAATGTAAATGAATTTAGATTTTACATATGATATAGCATCTAAAAACTATTATTTTAATTTTAATAATTGCTTATGCCACGATTATTGCCATTACTTTTTATTAACTCTAGAACACTAACCATCAATTAAAGTCACACCATTACTAACCATGAGTATATCATACCCGATTTTGAAAATATCAAAAAAAAAAAAAAATTAAATATAAATCTTTATTTGAAATATTTTACATGCAGGCACTTCAAACTTTGTACTTTGAGTTAACATTAATAGAAACTGAAAAACATTATTTAGGTACGAAAATCAGGTACTGAAAATTATAATAAAAATAGGAAAATTTGCGCTGGATACTATATACCCATGGTTAGTGTTCTAGTGTTAATATAAAAGAGGTATGATTTATGAGTAAACAATTTAACCAAAGACATAATATGTCCGAAACAGGTGGAGGTTTATAATGATGACACACTGAATGATATCGACCCGATAAAGTGTAAACAAAGTAAGTAATCCGTATACCTATTTCTCCTGGTTTGTATATGGGCTTGTCCGTTTGAATAAACGTGGAAAGTGAAAGTACTTGATACTGCAGTTGGATAAAATCATCAAAGTTGACGTCGCCATCAGAAGTCACGTAGAGATTATACTGATCTGGCCGTAGATGGTCTGGAATATACTAGAAAAGTAAAGGCGAAAGGTATTTATTTGAATTGGCATTTTAAAAATGTTTATTTATTTACAAAGATAGTAATTTAAAAATGA